AAGTAGAGCTGAAATAAATTTGGGATTACAGAGAATTAAAATGATACAAATTTTAAGCAATCGGAAAAGTTATGTTATTACAATGAGACACGTCAACACAACAAACACTCTTCCCTTTCAAACATCTATATCTATGCAGTCCTCGATTATTTTTTAAATTATTTTTTCCTTTATTTTTACTGATTCAATTGTTTTAAACATTTAAATCAGTAATACTAAGTTATTTGATAGATTTTACACAGCATCAAAGACATGAACATCAATTGCATATATAATAATCAAAGGGAGAAAATAAAATGACTTAAGAACTAGACTAAAATAAGGTGTGCAAACTGGGTTTCTCTTGACTGCCTAGTTTACCGTGCTCCGTCGTTAGCTGAGGTGTCAAAAGTTCACATTGTAGCCACCCATGGACAGAAAAAGAAACGACACAAAGACGTTTATAATATATCTGATGATTCTTCTAGAAGTACTGCATAAACACGTTTTACTTATTTCTATTTTCATAACATTAAAAAAAGCTATAGCTTTTGGGTTAAATTTTACTAGAGTCAAATATACAATTTTTGAAAAAAAAAAACGATCTATAAGAGAAGAAAAATCAATTTTTTAACAAGTATAATGCAAATACAGAGATTTAAAAAAAAATCCATTTACGTTGTATTTTGTCAAATGTATCGATTATAAACTAATTCTAGGCCTTTATCTGTGGTTGTTTCCCTTGGTTGTATAAACATTTTTAAAAACATTTATGACCTTTATTATAACACATGTCGGCTAACTGATTTTTTAAAATTTAATATATTTATAAGCTGGTTATTCTAAATTTGTTATGAATGTTTTTTTAAAAATAAATATTATTATACATTTCAAGAGACCCTACTCTTCCCTAAAAATTCGATCAACGCTGTTCTAAAAACAGGCAGCGTTTGTTGAATGTGTCTATAAGTTAAAGGGAGATAATAAATATATTACCATTTAAAAATTAAAATATTTATTAGTTATCCTTTATGAAAACAAAGAAAAAATACTTAGACTTCGCTTTTGTTTGATTAACAATAAAATATTTACTGTATTTTTTCTTAAATGATAGAACACAGTATTCTAAAATTAATTTAATTTTGCAGCCCTCTTTCGCCACTCTTTCAAAATAAAATAAATGAGTGGAGAGGGTAGGCCAAAATCTATACTTTTATTTCATCATAAAACTTGGTGTAGGGAATTACATATGTTAAAGTATTGTCAGGATTGATTTATAATGTAATTGTATTGTCAGAATTGACTAACATATGTAATTGTGTGTAGTGACCTACATATGTAATAGTTTTGTGTGTAGTTACTTACATATGTATAGTGTACTGACTTACATATGTAATAGTATTGTGTGTATTGAATTACATATATAATAGTATTGTGTTTAGTGGCTTACATATGTAATAGTATTGTGTGAAATGACGTACATATGTAATAGTATTGTATGTAATGACTTACATATGTAATAGTATTGTGTGTAATAACTTACATATATAATAGTATTCTGTGTAATAACTTACATATGTAATAGTATTGTGTAATAACTTACATATGTAATAGTATTATGTGTAATAACTTACATATCTAATAGTTTTGTGTGTAATGACTTACATATCTAATAGTTTTGTGTGTAATTACTTACATATTTAATAGTATTGTGTGTAATAACTTACATATGTAATAGTATTGTGTGTAATAACTTACATATGTAATAGTATTGTGTGTAATAACTTACATATGTAATAGTATTGTGTCATGAAGATGACCATAGCAGTGCTGGTAATAGCCCCAACAAAAAGTAACAGGGCCTTCAAGGTCACGTTTTTTGTTCCCAAGGTAACGTCCAAGCACCTGAAATGATGGGAAGTCCATTGAATAGAGGGCTTTATGTTAGCCCATTGAACAAATGGTTTTACATTAGCCCATTGAAGAGTCGGCTTTAAACGAATCACATCTTCTTAAACTAACACACGGAATCAATTAAAGATTCCATAATAAGCTCATCTGGCGTGTGTCTAAAACAAACAAGGTAAATTATTAAGAAATGCGTGTGTATGTGTAGTTTGCCTGTATTATACTCTAGTGCAGGGGTTCCCAACCCTGTGCCCGCGGGCGCCATGGCGCCCGCTGAACGATTCGTATGTGCCCGCCTCTCACTATTCGACAGAGACAGAATTCTTTTCATAAACATTATTTTAAAATATGATTTATTTTTATTCATTTGTTACAGTTTCAATTTTTTTTTGACTGCCTAGGTTTATCAAATATGTTCGATACTTGTCCCAACATGTCTAGCGGCGAGCCAGACTGCACTATTTACGCTAGCCTGGAACGGCTAGTGCCATTTGAATCATTTTTCGCTTCGACATATTTTTTATGCGAATCATTATTTTCAAACATGAACTTAATAAAATCAAGATAAGGATCTCGACTCACCGATGAGCATCTTTTTAATTGTCTGCTAACAGGATTATCGTCATACGCTCCTAATTATGAAGCTCTGGCCAATGAAATGCAATGCCAAAGATCAAATTGACTTTATTATATTTTTAATTAAATGTTTTCTTTGTATTTATGTGTTTTGTTTACTTTCTTTACGTTTTGTAAATACATTTCTCTGTGTGTATGCAATTTGAAAAAAATGTCAAATAATTTTATTATTTTGAAACATTTTTGTTTATTATTTATTAATACATTATGACTATAAGAAAATAAGACAAAAAATTATGGGAAAATGAAAAGTTATGGAAGGAGTTTGTCGATTTAAAATAGGTGGTGCCCGCCACCCTACCGATATTTTAGAATGTACTCTAGAGTTAAAAAAAAAAGGTTGGGAACCCCTGCTCTAGTGGTTTGTCGTGCTATGGTAAGTTTATCTTGCTGTGGTTAGTTCACCTACCTTTTATCCTGCTATGGTCAGTTCACTTACCTATTATCTTGCTATGGTCAGTTTATCTTGCTGTGGTTAGTTCACTTACCTATTATCTTGCTATGGTCAGTTAACTCATTAACCATATATGGTATGGGTTTGAGCGAACTGCGAAAGGACTATCTTATCTTAACACCAACTCTGAAGCAAAAAGCTTTTTTTTTTTTGCGATAACCGCAGATTTTCACGGATAATCAACGTCAATATTTAATTAAAATATTTTAGCACATTTGTTTAAAATAAATTTATTTTGTACCAAAAATTATGAGTTAGATCCATGGTGTATATAAGTTATTTTTAGCCTTACTCTGGCATTAAACCTGACAGCAACCTTAATCCTAACCATAATCCTAACTTAAATAGCAATCATCTCTACCCGGCACCCCTACTGAGATATGGCCACCAACTAAAGATCTCCAGTCCTCTGTCCTGCTGGGGTATGGGCCGCCAACCAAAGATCTCCAGAGTCCTCTGTCCTGCTGGGGTATGGGCCGCCAACCAAAGATCTCCAGAGTCCTCTGTCCTGCTGGGGTATGGGCCGCCAACCAAAGATCTCCAGAGTCCTCTTTCCTGCTGGGATATGAGCCGCCAACCAAAGATCTCCAGAGTCCTCTGTCCTGCTGGGGTATGGGCCGCCAACCAAAAATCTCCAGAGTCCTCTGTCCTGCTGGGGTATGGGTCGCCAACCAAAGATCTCCAGAGTCCTCTGTCCTGCTGGGGTATGAGCCGCCAACCAAAGATCTCCATAGTCCTCTGTCCTGTTGGGGTATGGGCCGCCAATCAAACATCTCCAGAGTCCTCTGTCCTGCTGGGGTATGAGCCGCCAACCAAAGATCTCCATAGTCCTCTGTCCTGTTGGGGTATGGGCCGCCAATCAAACATCTCCAGAGTCCTCTGTCCTGCTGGGGTATGGGCCGCCAATCAAACATCTCCAGAGTCCTCTGTCCTGTTGGGGTATGGGCCGCCAATCAAACATCTCCAGAGTCCTCTGTCCTGTACCATCTTCTCAACCTGACCCCAGGTTTTGCGATTTCTCAATGCCTGTGTGGCCATATTGGTTAGCAGTCTGGCAAGTATGTGCCCTATCCATCTCCATCTTCTTTTCCTTATTTCTTCTTCAGCGGCAGATTGCTCTATCGTGTACTATATATGTGAACGTTGGTAATGACGTCGAGCCAGCGGATCCTGAGTATTTGTCTGAAGCAGCCGCTAATAACAGTCTAGACTTTATCAATGGTTACGTACTAACATAGCGATACCGGAAGAAAAACCATCGGGTACAACAAACAAATCAGATGCAGTGCAACCCATTATTTTCTTAAACGTTTAACAAAATTTGTAATATTGTGCATCAATCTGACAAAGTCAGCCATCAATGTCAGCATTCATGCAGTGCCGAGGGAACTTACTTTGTGAAAATCCTGCACGGTAACCTCTGTAGGTAGTGTCTAAACTTCAGGTGTTTGGTCAGGAAACGCATTGTTTCTCCAGCGCCGAGTTCAGGGTTGACGGAAGAAAACTCGACACAAAACATTGGTGCGTTTGTAGTGCGCACTGTGCAACTTTCCGGGAATTTCCGTTTTGTTGTTACAATTACTATTTAGCCAACTATTTAGGAAACTGCTCTTTCGTGCATTAACATGCAGGGGCGTACTAATCTTGGGTGGGGCCCCTAATTGCTGACTTTCTGGGACCCCTGCAACTATTTCGAATATGTTCTTCCTAAATAAATACAAATTCAATAATTAATAGATAACAGACAGCCTACTAATCAACCCACAAATAATGGAAATTTCTGCTATTATGGCCCCAAGATGGTGACTTTCTCTACCTGGGGTCGGTCATTCAAGCGCTATGTAAGTCTCCTTCTAGAGCCCGCTTCGGAGGCTCCTAGACGCAGTGCCGGCGCCAGGTTATTTAGCGCCCTAGGCAAAACTTACTAAAACGCCCCTTTTCACACAAATTGATTACTAAAACATATGAATAAGAAAACAATTCAGTGACATATTTATTTATTATCAATTGCATAGGCCTACGCCTAAAATTAAATTTTACTTGCCTCCTTCGTCTCAAAAGTTTGTACTAATTCCTTCAATTCAAGGGAGAAGAAAGTCTGAAAAAAAAACACTCAAAAAAAAAACACAGTTCCTGTAGTGTTGGGCTCTCTGCAGTCCTCCCAAGGTGAGTTCCAAAACGGAAATTACCTGTTTTAAGCTTGACTGTCTTTAGTTATAACTGTAAAATGTCTATATTGTGTGATTATGTAACGTTTTTTTGTTTTTGAAAAAAAAAAGGTTATAAATGTTATAGATTCCAGCCTAAAATTTTTATATGTGAATCCTTTAGGAGAGGGTGAAAATATAAAAAAAAAATTAATTAGATGTTACGACTACGACTGCATGTCTACTAACATTAAGTATTGCAATATACAACGGCTACTGATATATTTGTTTTTCAACTTGATAATGCTAAAAATCCTACCAAACTATTTTGCATAGAACTTAAGCTCTATATAATTTTTACAATAGCAAATAATAACTTAAAGTTGTATTTATAGGTAAGCGGTCAACCTCAGGTGCAGGAATTTGAAATGAATGTAAAGTTAAACAACGAATTATCTCCCATTTAAAAACGCAAAGACCAAAATTTTATTCAAGGGAAATTACTTTCACGAAAATAGCTAAATTAACCAAGTGTAACTAAGACATGCTTGGAAAACAAAATAAAATGCTCTAAATTTCATTACCTAATAGTTATAATAAAACTTGTATATTAGCTATGTAAGATTGTGATGACAATATCTTCTACTTATTGAATACTTAACTGTAGATTGTATTTGAAAGCCTAAAAACTGTTGCTTTATCATAACATACTTGTATTCAATTTTGATTATATGTAAGAAACATTTAATGTATTAATACGAAGTTAACGGCTAGTTATAAATTCCAGATGTTTACGTTTCTGTTTTAGCTGAAAGTGAATAATAGGATTTAAGCAAGAAAATTATGATCAACTCAACACGGCCCTATCACAGAACATTTAATTACATCAATACATCAATAATTTATTTTTTTAACAATAAGCTGTTTCTTATACAATATTATTTTTTAAATTTTAACCTCATGAAAATAACATTTTTATAAGAAGAACGAGCAATGGTTTTATACGATCAAACAATTTACAATATTCTAGTTCAACATGCCAATATATATCGCTCAAAACTTGAAATCCAACAGCTGGATAAAGTTATTTGTTTAGCAAACACAGAGAATGTTTGTTTTTCTATGTACTGGACGATTTACCTTCTCTTCCGTAGAGCCAAAGTCACAAACATAAAGTTGATATACCACCAACATAAAGTGGATATACCACCAACATAAAGTTGATATACCACCAACATAAAGTTGATATACCACCAACATAGAGTTGATATACCACCAACATAAAGTTGATATACCACCAACATAAAGTTGATATACCACCAACATAGAGTTGATATACCACCAACATAAAGTTGATATACCACCAACATAGAGTTGATATACCACCAATATAAAATTGATATACCACCAACATAAAATTGATATACCACCAACATAAAGTTGATATAGGTCTACCATCCACAAACGCAACATACCAAAAAGAAAATGTTTTTCTTCAAACCAGATGAAGTTGTCAGAAAATAAACTGTGTTTCCTTGAACAATTTGCGCCAGAGTCACTTGACCACGAAAGTCATCTTTGAGTGACATCTACACGTCTATGATCACGTGACAAGTTAACAAGAACTGGACACGGTCACCGTGTACAGTGTGCCGACCAAGTGTGCAAATTGAGGTATAAAGTTAATTTTTCCTTTACCAATAAAGGTTTGGTACGAAACTCGACTTCAACCTCTAGTATTTAGCTCTCCCCTAATACGCTTATATACACATTAAAGCTGAGTTTGCTCATAGCCAGTGGTCGTTATCTCTCACCAAATACAGCTAGGCACATATTAAGGCTGAGCTTAGCTTAAACCCATATTGTTTGTAACTGTTCTCAATTTAGACCTGAAACTTGTCAAAGCTAACGTTTCACATTACTAAAAATGTTTCCATCTCCCCAAAGTAATGCTAGACACGAATCAAAGCTGAAGGTCCTCATCGATTTAAAACCAATTTACGTCAAAAATTATGTTTGAGTCGTTTCCACATTGCGTTGCATCACTTCCGTAATTTCACGCTGGGCGTCACACGTGACCACCCCATATGACATGACCAGGTCTTCTCTCGTCGGATCAGCCTGCTCTCGTCAGGGTCGTTCTCGGCTCTTGACGTCACCAAACCCAACCTTGACCTTTGCATATAACTCCATTTGATTGGCTGACCATCAACGTTAACTCGACTTGATGGCGGCCTTGCGTTTCCTCTCTTTGATGCGGTCCTGGAGGGACTTTGAGAGTTTGACGGTGGAGGGCCGGTCCACTAGGTTGTCCAGTGTTTCCGGTGAGGTTCTGATCGTGTGGACGATTTCCATCTGGAGCAGTTGGCCAGATAAACATGTGACCTATAAAGTAGACAAAAATATCAAAATACTAATACTGGTATTACTACATATAACTTGCTTTTGGCTTAATATCTAGAATGTTATGATTTTTTTTGTCACTATCAATAATATTTGTTAATTCCTTTTATTAAAGAATTAATTTACTATTTTAAAACAGTATTAAATTAAATGATAGTGACTAACTAAAAAGGTTTTTATATTTTAAACAGTTGTCATTGGCTCAGCATACACTATTTTAAAAGAGATCATATTATTAGCTAGTGTTACGCGAAATGCCAGTAATAAATAATGCGATTGGTCTCACGACTCCTGTTCCTCTAATAACAAAGACTATGATTGGCTAAGGCCATATAAGTTGTGGTTTTGAACCCACCTCCGCCTCCAGCTCCTCCATGTGCTCTGAGAACTTGTCCAGGTCCGTCTTTAAGACGCCGTACGACTGCTCAGACGAGCTAATCTTGTCTGTCAAGATAATCCTCTCGTGAGACTTTGCCAGGATTCGATCCTGCACCACCTCCAGGTCGCTCTCCATGAGACGTAAATAATCCTCTAAATCTTTCACCTGGTCCAAGTAGTATATCAGTTATACAACGTTATATTATTATTATACAACAACATTAATGCTGATTTGACCCACCTCTGCACATAATAATATACGGTTCTAAAACATTCACAAAAACCACTACACTATTTAATTAGACTTTCAAGACCCCCCCCCTCCCAAATCTCCATTAAGCATTTTGTATAAGAATAGTTGCTATTGGTTTTTTTTTTCCAAAAACGAATCGGAAACAATTCAGTGCAGATCAGCTGTTACATCTTGATTAGACACAGTCGAACGTGTTAAGTTATACCATTCAAGTGTAAGCCACTGATTGGCAATGTTTCCATCCACAATGTTTCTTCTAGACTGTTTTCTCCGGGGGGGGGGGAGCACTTGAAATTTTCGGGGGGCGGACTAAATTTTCAGGGGGTGGGGGGGTGGGGCGGACACTGTTAAAAGTATATATTTTCTATATAAAATCCATTTCGTTCGGGGGGCGGTAGACTTTCTTCGGGGGGGGGGGGAGTTGCCTGGAAGAAACTCGGACCATCCAGCCAACAGTTCTTAATAACAAAAGAGAACATTCGAAAAAGTTTGTATATAAGAATACAGGGTGGTGATATACATCTTCGCTCTATACCACATATAACACAAATTACACAACCTGAAACTAGTATAAACCACCTCCATACACACTTCTTATAAATAATATCTGTACTATCTTAAAACTTCGGTTTAAACATGTACGTAAAACAAAAAGTCACATCCTGCGGGGGGGGGGGGGGCTGTTAAGTTATGGTTAATGTTACAACTAACTTAACATGGTGTTATTATTAGGACTAATAAATGTCAAAATCCTTACCTATATATTTCATTTTATTTTTTACTCTATCTACCATTAATCTAAAATTATATTTTTCTACTATTTTGCTTCATCTATACCCTACAACTATTTAATCTATCTACAATAAAGCGGAAATTTAACTGTACAGCTATTTTTCCTTCTACTTTATACACCTATGGCTATTTTATCCATCAACCATATATCTAAACTGAACACAAAAAATCTCACCTGACGTAACAATTTCATCTTCTTCGACTGCAGCGTGTAGTTCCTCTTCGTCTGCTGCGCCGTTATCTTCAGAAAGTCCACCATGTTTTCCTTCTGATGAATCTCATTGATGCGCGCCTTCTGCTCCTCCCGTGACTTGTTCATCTTCTGCTCCAACTCTTTCAGCTCCGCCTCAATCAGCTGCAGCTTCTCTCGGTTTTTGTGCAAAACGTTCTGAGCTATCCGGAAATTCTTCTCAACCCGCTTCTGCTTCTGTTTCTCCGTCTGCAACACGAGCTCTCGTTTCCTAGCAACGGGTCTGGTCTCGCGAATAAAAGTGTTCATCTCATGCATGAACTGCTCATCCCTGCTCAGCCATTTCCTGGCCGTCTCGCACATGCCGAAGATTTTTGTACAGACGTCGTACACAACGCCGAGAATTGGAAACGCTTTTGTATCACACGACAACATCAGTCTCTCCAGAAAAGGCGAAGGGCTTATCAGATCGAGGTTTAGTTTGTTGGCGTAGCTTTTCAGAACGAGGCTGGCGTTTCCGGTCTGTGTTTCCAGAGTTTTGAGGAAGTCCTCGATGTCCAGGGCGTACTGCTGGCACACCGGAACCAGGAGCTCGGCGCTGTGGCTGCTGATGTAGTTGTTGCGGAGCCGTTGTAGCACCGTAGTGTTGAACTTGTCCAGGAGCATCTATGGGGTAAGATAGATAGGAACGGATTCAGTATAAATTATGTAGGCCTTAATGGCTAAAAAGGAAGTAAAGTACTTTTTCGTCATAAAGTTTTAAAGAGCAGATAACGTAGAATGTAATCTGCATGTAAAAGAATAGTTTGATCAGCATGTGTATTATGTGTATAGATACTGAATACAAGTGGACAATTTAGGAAGCCATAATGTCATTAATTTATTGTTATGGCAAAAGCGTTTTTGGTCATAAAAAAACTAAGAATACATTTGGGATTTATGCCATTGTTTTATAAAGCGGAGATAAATGAAAACCACAATACATCGTTATTGCATTTTTAGACAAATACGTCAAAAGATAAATGTGAACATTGCTGGTCTTACTTAAGGCTGATGTGAAAGAGATGCAATTACACATTTGTGTGTGTGGGATATCTTTGTGTAAAGGTCTGTGTGTGTTGTTTTTTTATCTTTGACATTAATGGATGATCTTTTTGAGTAAAGTCATTGTGTGTGTGGGAAGTCTTTCACATAAATGGATGATGTCTTTGTGTAAGGTCATCGGTGGATGATATATTTGAAAAGAGTGAGTGATATCGTGAATTAATGTGAATGATGACGTTGTTGCATTGAATGGCGTATGACTTTATTGTGAGTGACATATGAACATGACATCACGACACCACGCCTCACCCACCTGCAATGCTGCCGTTATTGACTTGAGCTCTGTCCAGTAGGTGGTCAGTGGGTCAACCAGTTCCATATCCGGGTGTTTTTCCGCCCTCAGTGCATTCAACATCCGGACAAGTCTCGTATCACTGTCTATAACCTGCGAGGTCAAGGAATCAATGGTTCAAGGTCACTTAAAGCTAAAAACTACAGATAGATGTGCAGATAAACGAGTAACACATACAATCAGAATTACCAGGTGTAAACTTGACATCTAAGACCAAGAATCAACATTGAAACACTTGCATACAATTGTCTATAAGACATTTAATACACCTGGCATCATCTTTTACACTTGACATACGTAACAGATGTCATCTCTTACATCTTACACAAGTAGAACTGATCAGACATTAAACACCTGTCATCTAGCACACTTGTCACCTAACACCCTGACATCTACTCACCTGTCACCAAACACACCTGTCATGTAACAACTTGTAAACTAACACACCTGTCACCTAACACCTTGACATTTACACACCTCTCACCTAACACACCTGTCGCCTAATACACCTGTTATCTACACACTTATCACCTAACACCTTGACATTTACACACCTCTCACCTAACACACCTGTCGCCTAATACACCTGTTATCTACACACATGTCACCTAACACACCTGTCACCTAACACACCTGTCATCTACACACCTGTCATCTACACACCACTAACACACTAAACAACGAAACTATCTTACTTCCAGAGCAACGTTGTTTTTCCGTAGACCAGCATTCGCCTCCAGCAAAAGTTCATTGACCCTAATTAAATATTGATGATAATCCTGCGATTCCACCCTAAAATGACAATAAATAAAAATTAGGAATAGTTTACTACTTACAACTTAAATTCTCTCCCCTACCAAGCGACTTATGACTCATTAATCCTCCTCCACTACACACCTTACTTGTGAAACTCCCGATCAATTCCCACCGCCTCCACCCCACTCACACTACTTGTGAACCCTACCCCCATCAATCCACACCCCCACACTCCATACACACACTCTACTTGTGAAACTCCCGATTAATCCCTACCACTCAAACCCCCACCCCTAAACCCCCAAAACAAAACCTACTTATGAAACTCGCAATTAATTCCCACCCTCACCCCCTACCCCCACCCCCTACACAACCTACTTGTGAGCCCCTTTATTCCCTACCCCCTACATCCCTTACACAACTTCTTGTACCCCCCCCCCCATTAATCCCAACCCCTACACCACCCCAATCCTTACCCCCCCCCTACACAACCTACTTGTGAAACTCCCGATTAATCCTCCGCCTCCTCCTCCACCTGCCCCACCCCCCACACCCCCCTCACCTACACAACCTACTTGTGAAACTCCCGATTAATCCTCTCCGCCTCCTCCTCCACCATCCCCACCCCCATCCCCACCCCCACCCCTACCCCCACCCCACACACACAACCTACTTGTGAAACTCCCGATTAATCCTCTCCGCCTCCTCCTCCACCATCCCCACCCCCATCCCCACCCCCACCTCTACCCCCACCCCACACACACAACCTACTTGTGAAACTCCCGATTAATCCTCTCCGCCTCCTCCTCCACCTGCCCCACCCACCCACCCCACCCCCTAACACTACCTACTTGTGAAACTCCCGATTAAACCCCACCACCTCCCCCCACACACACCCCTCCCCGCACACACACAACCTACTTGTGAAACTCCCGATTAATCCTCTCCGCCTCCTCCTCCACCTGCCCCACCCACCCACCCCACCCCCTAACACTACCTACTTGTGAAACTTCCGATTAAACCCCACCACCTCCCCCCACACACACCCCTCCCCCCACACACACAACCTACTTGTGAAACTCCCGATTAATCCTCTCCGCCTCCTCCTCCACCTGCCCCACCCACCCACCCCACCCCCTAACACTACCTACTTGTGAAACTCCCGATTAAACCCCACCACCTCCCCCCACACACACCCCTCCCCCACACACACAACCTACTTGTGAAACTCCCGATTAATCCTCTCCGCCTCCTCCTCCACCTGCCCCACCCACCCACCCCACCCCCTAACACAGCCTACTTGTGAAACTCCCGATTAATCCCCACCAACCCGACCCCCACCCCTACCCCCCCCCCCCCCCCACATACACATAGCCTACTTGTGAAACTCCCGATTAATCCCCACCATCCCCACCCTAGCCCCCCCCCACACACACACAACCTACTTGTGAAACTCCCGATTAATCCTCTCCGCCTCCTCCTCCACCTGCCCCACCCCCCACACCCCCCCTCACCTACACAACCTACTTGTGAAACTCCCGATTAATCCTCTCCGCCTCCTCCTCCACCTGCCCCACGTGACCCCTCATGTACTCCAGACCCTCCAGGTAAACCCTCTGGAGACCGGTCGTGTTCCGGGCGACCGTGGACCTGCCGGTCAGGTTGTCACGTGACGTGTCGATGACCGGAAGTTGCTCGGCTGGAACCAGGTCAGTCGAGGTCTTCTCCTCGCCCTTAGAGGACCGGGAGGAAATGGAACCATGCCGGTCTGTTGGCATTGGGGAGTCCTAGGGGTAGATAGAGAGAATGTGAGATGAATTAGTGATCAAAATGAATAAACTGGAGTAATTTACAGCTAGTTTTGGGGTCGGCATGGTCGAGTTGGTAAAGTTTCTTCCAGGCATCCCTTCTGAGAAGAAAGTCTACCGCCCCCCCCCCCCTTGAATAAAATGGAATTTATATAGAAAACATATACTTTTTCCAGTGTCCGCCCCCCCCCCCCCGGAAAATGGTGACCGCCCCCCTCCCCCCCCTCCCCGAAAATATCAAGTCCCCCCCCCCCTGTAGAAAAAAGTATGGAAGAAACACTGGGCTCAAACAGCTAGGGCCAGCATCTCTTTTATGAGAGACAACTCCAAAATCAAACAAATGCTGCCTTGTAGTTTATTCTTGGTTGAACAAAGGCTATGGACGCAAATCCAAAAAAGAAAAGCAGGCCGAAATCAGAGTCAACGTCCTAAATGGCGCATAACCAGTTGATACGTAATCCTTAATTGTGATGGAGGCGTGGTCGAGTCGGCAAAAGCTCATGATTGATAAATTCGAAAAAGTCTCGAGTTCAAACCCTCTGGCAGATAAGACTCGATCCCTTCCACCACTAAAAATTAAGAACGAAGAAGAAGAAGAAGAATAAAATGGATCAATTTACAACTAGTTTTGGGGTCGGTGTGTTCGAGTTGGTAAAGCTCATGGTTACTTAACCGAAATGTTTCTATTTCGAACCCTCGGACAGAAGAGGTTCAATAGCTAGGAACAGCAACTCTTCTGGAAGAGACAACTCCAAAATCAAACAACTGCTGCCTTGTAGTTTGTTCTTGGTAGGACAAATACGATGGTAGCAAATCCGAAAAGAAAAGCAGGCTGAAATCGGAGTCAAAGGCTTATTATGGTGAATAAAAAGTTGACACGTAATACTTGATGGTGTTGGAGGGAATCCCTTCCAAACACTAGAATTATGAACGAGCAGGAGGAAGAATAAAGAACAACTAGTTTTAAACCGCTTGCTACACAAAAATAAGATCTCTTAAGTTGAAAACTTCAATTGCTAAGTGTCAATAGCTGTAAGCGTATACATAGACGTTGTAAAAATCTAAAATCGAAACCACCCCTGAACCCTTGTTAGGGTCGTTGGGACACCACGGAGTGGTTTGTCTAGGGCTTAGTGTCACATGGGGGCGCCCACCCCTCACCATGCTTCACAAAGACGTGTACTTGATATTTAATAATTAAATTAAATTAATTCAAAATTAAATGTTAGACACAAATATGCATCCATGTTCTTGTCCAAGTTGTTGTTTTTTTCAATATTTATACACACAGGTATAGACAAAACATGGACAAAATCATGGACGTAAACTTGGAACACTATGTGGACAGCACGTACAAAACCAAGGCAAAACCAACTGATACAAAAAATAATACAACAATACATATTACAGTGGACAAAACGTTGACCATAACAAAAAGGTTGACCAAGACAAACATGTTAACCATGACAAAAATGTTGACCATAACAAAAACGGTGACCATAACAAGCGGTGACCATGACAAAAACATTGACCATGACAAAACGTTGACCATGACAGAGGCGTAGCGAGGGGGGCAGGGGGACGACATATGTCCCCGGGCGCCGACCTTAGGGGGCGCCAAAATAGGTTGGAATAATAAATTGAAAGGTTGAGGGGGTGCAAATCGAAATCTTGAGGGGGGGGGGGGGGTGAAAATCGAAAAGTTTGTCCCCGGGCGCCGGGGAGGGTTGCTACGCCTCTGGACCATGACAAATTTATGAATTCAACGGAACAAAATAAGAAAGAAATTTATTTTGTTGGCTTAATCATGCAAACAGAACACCGCAATCATTTGGTTTTAAGCAATGTAGCTACATTAAATTGTATTTGACAAAACACTTCAGTACGAATAAATAACGCAAGTTTCATCCAGGGCGGATGATACCGTTTGTAGTAGGCTGATGCTTCTTTTCTTTCTAAACTTTAATAAACACACATTTTACAATGACCAACATCACATGAAGGATAAAATGTAAACATTTGAATCAGTTCCACAAAAAAGGAGTTGATTTGTTTATATCGATCTACCTTATGCAATTATTTGTATAGCGGGGATGGCCGATAACGAAACTTTAACTCATTGTATTAGGGTTATGTTAGGTTAGGGTTTAAATTTAAGCTCTTGCTTAGAGCTAGCTTTATATGGTTTAAAATCTGGTATATGAGCTTTAGTATCTAATCAGTTGGGGATTTCCACCACAGTAAACGCTTGATTAAGACTAGAATTGAATGGTTTACTGTCGTGTAAGCGAGTTCAAAAGTCTAATCAGTTGGGGATTCCCACCACGAAATGATGAAATAGTTATCCTTATCTTCATATGGGCGTTCTATCATTTCCCCGGTGTGGTACTACCAACATGGTTGTGTTTTAAAATAAATTAGTGTAATCACACTATAATAGAGAATTGTAACGGTTTAGTGCTGGGAAGATTTAAGGTACAATGTAGTCGGATCATTCATCCGACAATTTTTCTGCAAATATCGGTGATTGTACAAAAATATATTGCTTCATAAAAACCATGCCTCGAATACAACGACACAATTACAACGCATTGATAAAACACTATCCTGTCTGTTTTATATTATGTAATTGATAGACATAGAAAAAAATGAATTTATATTTTACCATTTAAGTTCTCAAAGTTATGTTGTAGAAAAAGAAATCAATTGAATGTTTCCAGGCTAGGGCGAATCCTTCTCGTTTATTTCTATAACGTGTGTCATTTGTCACTTCACATCGCTGAATTAAACTACACAGGTCACAACACATGCGATGGCCAGCTGCATAAGTCACAACACATCCGATGGCCAACTACACAGCTTGCAAAAACACTGAAGGCCAACTTAAAAACACTGCTGGTCAAACTGGTGAATTAAACACGTCATAACACACTTATAGTCAACTACACAGGTCGCAACACATTTCGTGTCAACTACACAGGCCGCAACACACTTCGTGTCAACTACACATGCCACAGCACAGCGCGAGCCTACACCATCCGAATACCAACACAAACACCAGTCCCCACTTCCGCCAGCCAAAGAACACCCCAACACCCCGCTCTAGAATCACTTTGTATACGTCACTGCACGTCAATCACATGGACGTCACAACAGCCAAAAACAGGGGGAGATAATTGAATTAATTCAATAGACTTCACACAAAAAACCCGAAACTTAGTCGCCCTTGAATAGATTATTCAAAACAGGCAAAATATCGATTGACTGGATTATATTCAGCAGATAGTAGCTCCACCGTCAGCAGAAGACTTGCCGCGTTTAATGTGTTCATTAGCGAGACAGGACAGCCATTCACCGCAACGGTACACTGAATCTCGTACGTTCTCCACGCTTGGTCACATGACTCCCGTACGGTGAGTGCATTGATACTCCATGAGATCACTACAGCCTCTATCTAAAACTTGTATTTTTTTTTCTTTAACCTGGTTGTAAAATGTGTATTCACTTTTTTCTTTAACACGACAAAATGTACATATCAGTTGACAAGAATCTTGATTGCGTAACTTGATTCACAAATTTATCCTCAACGTACAGTTAAAAGGATAAGATCTATAAACACATCATACATAGGTATTACTTACTATCCCATCATCAAAGTAATATCCTTTAAGGATAAAGGATAATTTTCCAAAACCTCGCCACACAATTATAACATTCAATAACTCGGTAAAAATGATACAATCACTGTCTTACAACTTTATGATAATCTCTCACCATCCCACCACTATAAGAAACCAGCTCTTAAGAATAATATTTTACCAACCAACCACGAAACAACACAAATTAATATCGGCGATGGGTGGCGTGGTCAGGACAGTAAAGCTCGTGGTTGCTAAACCAAAAACTCTCAAGTTCGAACCCCCGGGCAGATGAGGCTTAATAGCTGGGGACAGCAACCCTACTGCGAGAGGCTATTCCAAAATCGAACAACTACTGCCTTGTAGTTTGTTTTTTTGATGGAGGAAATCCCGCCCAACATTACACAACGAAGAAGAAGGAATATTCACCAACCTACCACAATCCGAATAAACAAAAAGATTCGATTCACTATCCCAATACACAGAAGAATCTATTCACTATTTCAATACACAGAAGATTCGATTCACTATTTCAATACACAGAAGATTCGATTCACTATCCCAATACACAGAAGATTCGATTCACTATCCCAGTACACAGAAGATTCGATTCACTATCCCAATACACAGAAGATTCGATTCACTATCCCAATACACAGAAGATTCGATTCACTATCCCAATACACAAACAATTCTCCAACCCAACAGAAGCAGACAAAGATAAAATCCACGCGACAACATCACCCTCACGTCCACAACTAACCACTACATAAATAAAATATTTTCTCCGTCATCAGCCATCAACAACAAACAAAGGAAACCCACACTACACTATTGTTGACTTGACTGTAACATTGACTCGATCTAAAGATCGACTTGACACGAAGTCGTGTATACCCTAACAAAGACGAACCCCGGAAACCTCATTCTAAATTTATGGACAAGAATTGACTTTAAAGAAATAGAATTAAAGCACGCTTGTGCAGTCATTAGAACATCAAACAGATTTTAAACATGTTTTAGAAGCTGACCAATATAAAAGAGGATATAAATAGACAATGTTGATTTTAATCAATGGATCAACAATCAATGATTTGATAAGCTAGTGGCTTTACAATAAGAAATCGATCGAATCAATTGGTTATGTTTGACGAGTTGACTGTTTGATTACTGGATGTGTCATATTGACACATCTCTTGTGTGTTATTTATATTCAAACATACTTATACTGTAGGCCTATTGACATTAACTTATGTATAATATACATATGTATAGGTATAAACATATTTTTATATACATATTTGGGTATGTATAAATATATGGGCCTACACATATATGTATTATATATATTTATATTTGTTTATTTGTATATATTTCTACAGATTATATATATATATATATATATATATATATATATATATATATATATATATATATATATATATATATATATATCGCAAAGAGTTTATCTAACATTAAAGACTAAAATGACTACGTGAGAAAAGAATCAACTTTACAACTTTTATAACTGCCTTCATAGTCCTGTTGTAAAACCCTTCACCGCGTACCTAAAAGATTGAAGGATTGAACGCCTACATCCGGTCTAAAGAGACAGAGAGAGAGACGGAAGAACAATTCCAAACCAAAATCACCCGCCTGACACCCACAGAGAGGTCTGTACACGACAGGATGAATTAGATCCGTCGGTAGTGATGTAACATGAGATCAAAGGCTTAATTACAAACACGTCACAATTTTAATGAACACGAGCTCTGTATGGGCGCCATTGGTGGTTGCATTACATGTCCGACATCAAGGCAATTGTTACGTAATTTGGCGCGGTCCAGGTAGCCTACACAGATTGCCGTTTAATTAGTTGATCAAGTACCAACATTAATTATGGATAATAGTAACATATTGAATAAATACTTTAATATGAGTACTTATATATATATATATATATATATATATATATATATATATATATATATATATATATATATATAAATCGAGGGAGAGGTAAAGAGATACAACCATTAATTATTTATAACATCTGGAAACTAGTTATTTTAAAGGATGATGTAATAAATTGCACCTAATTACCACCTGGCAACTTACCCAGACTGCACTAATATGACCCCATTAACTAACCAATCACGTCAATTATTTACACTTGCATGACAACCTGTCTACTTCCGGTTGTCAGGTATTTTTATTTCGTCTCCAATTTTAGTGACGTCATTTGTTCTGGTACTACACTGATGCATTGTTTTTAGGGTTGTGTAGCTCTACAAGGTAGGGTGATGAGGTTGGTGTCACAGGTAGGTGGAGGGTGTCGGTTGTTGTTGTTTTTTTCTCTGAGTGGATGAGGGAAGTGTATGGATTAAGAGTGGACAGTTGAGGGGTTGGTTTTAAATTGATTGTTTGTGTGGGTTGTACAAGGTCGGTGTCACTAGGGTGGTGTTGGGTGTTGTGTGTTGGTGTTAGTGGGGTGGTGTTGGGTGTTGTGTGTTAGTGGGGTGGTGTTGGGTGTTGTGTGTTGGTGTTAGTGGGGTGGTGTTGGGTGTTGTGTGTTAGTGTTAGTGGGGTGGTGTTGGGTGTTGTGTGTTGGTGTTAGTGGGGTGGTGTTGGGTGTTGTGTGTTAGTGTTAGTGGGGTGGTGTTGGGTGTTGTGTGTTGGTGTTAGTGGGGTGGTGTTGGGTGTTGGTGTCACTGGGGTGGTGTTGGGTGTCACAAAATGTGCGGGTGTGGGATCTGGTTTTTCTTGGTGGGGGTAGGAAGGGATAGTGTAGGGGTTGTATTGTGATTGGACAGTGATTGGAATGGGGTTGGTGCTAGGGCGGTAGAGAGGAGGGGGTTGGTAAAGTGGGTTTGTTATTGGGTTTAGTTTTAGAGAGTTGCAAGTTGGTAGGCAGAGGGAAATTTGTAGGATGGATAAGCTTGGATATTTTGGAGGTGGACACACTGATATTTTACATGCCGGTCGAAGATTACAGTCGAGATGATTTTAAGTATAAAATCTAAGGGGGGGGGGGGGGGTCAGGTGTGTAGTGTAGGTGGTCTCATAACTCCACACACATGATTTATTGATTGATTTCTACTCGAACAAATCAATAAGTTAACTCCCCTCAACGCTATAACTTGATTTTTACCTTGAATTACCTTTTAACTGTATTTGTCTAATTGTCTAGCCTAGAGAACCGACGTGGTTCCACACACCTGGGCTGTCACACCTGAGTGAGCAGGTACCATAAGGTACGCAGCAGGAACTTAAGACCAGGTGTAAATAAGAGTGTGTCGGTCTGAACAGACGATCAAAATAGTTTTTTTATAGATATTTTTTGTCGCTAATAAAGCAAATGTAACGTTTATAGCTATGTAGAGATTTTATGATTACATGAGTGATTATATGACTAATATATTAGGTACGCATATATTCCTGTTTGATCTGCAAGTGTATGAATATGTGATCTTTGCATATGCTGCTATTATTAACGAGAATATATAGGCATTTATCCGCATATATATATATATATATATATATATATATATATATATATATATATATATATATATATATATATATATATATATATATATATATATATATATATATATATATAACTTTAAATAACAACACAGAAGGCCACTACCTTTTTTTCTTATTTGTCTTTTCTAAAAACCACCTACCTATCCCCCCCCCCCCACTCCATCTTGCAGAGTCTTAACAGTTTGGTACTAAAAATGTTTTGTCTTTTAGTAAACCAATTATTGGTATTACACTATTTACATAAGATTGCTTGTCATCATATCTCCGTTTCAAAATGGTGTAAGGTATTTTATATTGAAGAAAGAAGAGGTAGCTTATATATAATAGGTAAAATCAAATCCCTTTTGTAACACGTGTATACCGACCCCAGGCTAGATATAAACAAAGTTACAACCACCCCTTCCCCACCCGTAAGTAAAATCTGCACTGTCCAGATCTGTTGGCACAGTTCGATCACCGGTGCCAATAACGATACATAAACACCAAGCTAAACCCTAACACTAATCCTAGCCCAACCCTAACACTAATCCTAGCCAAACCCTAACACTAATTCTAGCCCAACCCAAACACTAATACTAGCCCAACCCTAACACTAATACTAGCCAAACGCTAACACTAATCCTAGCCAACCCTAAAACCTGACAGTAAAGCTAGACTTAGCCATTGACTAACACTACAGGTCTAAACATATTGACGACATAACAGGCAATATAAGCGATAAGAACAAGTGTTATTGTTAAACTATCACACGGGTAGGGGTAGGGGGACAGCTCTGTCATATACTTTTTACTACTCTGCCAAAAACGAGTTATCGCATACTGTATATTTACACGAGCCCACATCGTTATAAGAGTCACTAAACGAAATGATAGGGAAGTGTGTGGGGGCGGGTTGATATTTTATTTTATTTTTTTCTTTCTTCAGAAATATTCTACTTTTAATTAGGCTATAGTATGGCTATTAAGTAACATCTAAATAATTATATTTATTTTATTGTATTTTTTATTACCAAAGTAAAAAGTACATTTTAATTATTTTTTTTTACATCTGTCAACATTTATTTTAAATTGTCTCCCTTTTCTACGGTTACTTCCCCTTGTTACTATAATTACACGGTGTGTTTCCTGATCTAGCAGATGACACCTTGAATCGACACCAGCGACACACTTCAAGTCCCTGATCCTGCTGATCACCTGTCAGGTAGATTCCACCACCGCTTTTATCTATTCAATTTTAAGTCGGGAATGGGTTTTTTCCCTTGATCGATACCGATATATCGAACAGCTAATGGCGTGTGATTAAAGTGGACTTTCTTACAGGGAGCAGGCGTTTAGAAAGTTGATTCAGTTCTGCTTGAATCTCCTACGTATTCGCTGTCGTGTGTACGGCCATTTGAACACAATCAGAGGGAAATAAAACACGTAGCTAGGTGTACTTTACAAAACGTTAGCAGAGGACGAACGTTCTATACTGTTGTTAGCCGGAATATTAATTGGACAGTTAAGGTCACCGTCGTTCACAGAAAGATAAACATAATTTTTTTTTACATTATAAACGGAAGGACATATAATAATACGAATATGTTTACGTTATGATTTGTACTTTTTATAATGCTGTTTTCTTTTTTATCAAAATGCTGACTATTTTAAAATATCAGGTGTATGACACAAGTAAAACACCTTAACCTTCACAAAAAAGGTATATAAGCCACGCAACTCACGCACGTGGGGTATTAAACCACATCAAACACGTACGTGTGGCGATAACACATCACTTATGGTCGTTGTACTCAACCACTTTATGTAATCGTTACACCACATCACTTTATATGGACTTTATATCATAACACAAACAGTGTGGTTTAAACAGATTACTATTATGTCTGTGGATGTTACGCCTTATGACAACATGAGAAAGTTGTACCATTATTTTTTATGAGATCAAACATCACCATCCTTGGAAATTATACAACATCATTATATATGGCTATCATACCACAATCACTATATATGATTATCATCCACATTACTATATATAAACGTGTAACCACATCTCGACATGTGGATCTCATACCATGTTCACCTTGTTCAACATCATGTTATTTGGATGTTATGCCACATCACTTCATGTAAACGTTACATCACATCACATAAACAAATGCGGACCTTACACAACACCACATGTGGATGTTACACCACATCACATGTGGATGTTACACCACATCACATGTGGATGTTACACCACATCACATGTGGATGTTACACCACATCACATGTGGATGTTACACCACATCACATGTGGATGTTACACCACATCACATGTGGATGTTACACCACATCACATGTGGATGTTACACCACATCACATGTGGATGTTACACACCACATAAATATGTGCAGTCACTTACCTCGTACGCCAAAGCTGTGAGAAAAACTCCCTGAGTCTCCGTCAGCTCCACCGTCTTCACCTGACCTATACTAGGGAGCCGTAACCGCTCCGGCTTTCCCGCCCGGCTCCGGGATCTTCGACGAGCTGAGCGGGGTCTGGGCGTGGCCCTAGGCCGGTGGGAGGAGGGAGGGCGCTGGGAGGAGGGTGGGCGATACGCGGAGGGAGCCTCGTGAGCCGCGGCGCCTCCATGAGAGGGGGAGGGAGGTCTGACGGTGAGAGGAATAAACTCAGGGTTTCGATGGCTTTTTGACGTCACGATGTTACGATGGCTTTTCCTGAGTGACACATCTGCGAAACACAGAACATCAACATCGTTACCTTAGATGTAGGACACATTTTGTGAAATATTTTAATAGGTGGTATAAGGAATTGGTGCTCCTTCGAAATCTTCAATTCAATTATTATTATTATTAACAACTAAGACGATGATTTAATTTTGAGTTTAAAGAAAATACGTCTGATAAAATACAGGGCATATGAGACTCCTTTTCTAGGGACAGGGTATGCGTGGTCTAATAGTAGAGCGTTTGACTGCTAGCCCGAAGGTCTCGAGTTGGGATCTCGATTCAGACTTGAGATTGTAGGACGTCCCTTTGCCAACCCATTATGGGTACCAGATTTACGTTAGGGAAAGTATAGGCGGCTGAGCATAGTGCTGATACACAGACGAGCGCGTGCGCACACACACGCGCACTCACACCATATATATATATATATATATATATATATATATATATATATATATATATATAAGTAGGGTGGTAATTAGATAGTATATACACTATATCAATGTGATATATCATGTAACTATTGGTAAACCACATCACTGCGTGACTAATAGCGTGACTAATAGCTCTTACTCGTGGTGGGCGTGTCCTCATGTCCAGAAAACAGGTTGGAATGAGTGACCAGGTTTGCATGATTGGCCAGGTTACCACCACCCAACCGCCGTAGGATATCTGACCGGCTGGGTTGGCCCGGGCCACCCTGATCTGCCGGGCCACCGTTGGCCTTGTTGAGATTCACACGCCGTAACCTGGCCCGACGGTCTGGCACCGAGGGTGAGGTGGGGAACGGCAGTCTTGACGGAGCGGCCAGCAAGTTGCGCTTGGTGCCGGAGGTGGGTCTGGTGACGGCCGTTGCCATGGTAACAGCGCCAGAGATGTCAATGTACAATGATGTCACTTAAAAAACTGGTAAAACGACGAGTATCAAAGGTCATAGGTCACATCTTGATATCCGTGAAGCTTCTAACATTCGAGGTTCTATGTGAGTAGGCCTACATATAAATGAGCTTAGTAACTTGCATTATCTTTCATAATAAATATGCGCTCAATCCTGTTCTGTGTCATATAATCCACATCGTGTATCCACAAAATCCACACCGCAATTGTAATCCAAAAAACAAAGTTTCTTTCTGCTCACACTAATGGCATCCATTCCAAATTATCCCCTTTTACACAACATTAGGCCATCGTGTTTGTTATCTGTGAAATAAAAAAAAAAAGCATTTAAAATGAAAACCAATCATCGAATTTTTTTTAATCAAAGACCGGCAATTGTGTACTATTTGTGGTTTGTCAATACACCTGCATTAGGTGAATGTTGACAGGGTTCTAGCACCTCTCTCTTTGGTCTTTATGGGCACGTCGATAGAGGTGGGGGGGGGGGTGGGGGTGGACAAGGGTAGGTTAATCAGTGGTAGACAATGTGAGGACGCTTTGTCTGTTAAAAGCATCTACTAATGCATTTACACACACACACGCACAAACACACACACACACAGATATATATATATATATATATATATATATATATATATATATATATATATATATATATATATATATAATAAACTATTTCCTACATACCTATAAGATATGCATGTTTTACTACAATACAAATCAAATATGCTGCTGTTATACATATACCCGTAGCTTAGATTCTCTGATAAATTTATCTTATGAATTTTCAAATTTTCAAATGATGGTCCGCATCACCCCATATCCCGAATATCAGAGTATCCCTATCTCGTTGAGACTATTTTACCAAATGTATCCATCTCACCTTTTTACCAAATGTATCCATCTCATCTTTTTACCAAATGTATCCATCTCACCTTTTTACCAAATGTTTACATCCCACTTTTTATACCTAAGGTATCCATCCCACCTTTTTAACAAATGTATCCATCTAACCTTTCTACCAAAGGTATCCATCCTACCTTTTTCCACAAAGGTATCCATCCCATCTTTTTACCAAATGTATCCATCCCACCTTTCTACCATAGGTATCCATCCCAACTATTTACCAACTCCTCACACACCATCACCACCACCCTTCCACCCAACATCCGCCTGTCTAGTCATCATTAATTCACCTCACTAATCCCATGACATTTTCTACAATTGGTATTTTTTACCCCAATCAATAGAATTTTTTAAAATTTAACCACTGAGATAGCGAAGAGTTGCATCCCATTTGCTCGTATGAATTAGAAAGTAGACATCTAGGAACACGAATTGGGGACGGTGTGGTCTAGTGGCAGAACACGCACTTGCTAACCTGAAGTGAAGTAGAGTTCACCTGTTTCTGCGACCTCGGCATGTGAAGAGATATTGTGGTCAACACTATGCCCAGACGCCTTTCCTAACGTAGTAAGGTATCCATCTGAGCTAGGTTGACTCAGTGACGTTTTCCTGTCTTGAACCCGGATTCGAACTCGAGACATTTGGGTGATCAGTCTAGAGCTCTACTTCTAGGTCACACCGTCCCACATGAGTGTGGTACCCACCAATTGGTTTTCTCAGTGATCCGAACTCGAGACTTTCAGATTAGCAGCCGTACGCGCTTCCATCCGACCACTCCGTCCCATGAGGAAGCAAAATAGTATCGGCAACTCACGGGTGGTCACTTCGGGTGAGAGAAGGTTCGATTCTCAATGTTTTTCTAGTCAGCCTGGCTAATGAGCTATTGCTTGAGCTGGCAAAGACCTTACACATGTGAGAAAGGTACACCAAACATTGGCGACAAAGACGATAAAAGAGTGTGTTCTATGTTGGTTTCGTTCCTTATGCTAATGAAAAAATGGAAATGTGCCCAAAGACCATTTACCTACAATTTAAAATAAAATCCCTCTGGGTCGGTGTGGTTGGGTCGGTAAAGCTCACGACTGCTAAACTGAAAAGTTCCCAGTTCGAACCCCCTGGATACAAACACCTGCTGCATTGTAGTTTGTGCGTGGTTGGACAAAGGCTATGGAAGCGAATCCATAATTAAAGCAGGCTGAAATCGGAGATAACGGCCAATATGCCGCATAACAAGTTGACACGTATTTTGTGTTGGATGAAATTCTTTCCAACACTACATATAAGAACGAAAGTAAAAGAAACCATGCCTAACTCTGGACAAGAAAGTGTATTTATTCAGATAACAAACATTATTTCATGTACTGATATTCAGGAATGTTAATATAGGCCGAGGTATTTCTATAATCAGATTACGTCGAAAAATAAAACAGCGTAAAATATTTATGCTAACCAAACTTGCCATAAATCAAAAGATAAGGAAGTCAATTTAAAAGTAGAGGGGGATGGTTTATCACTTATATCGCGTTAGGATTTTGGTTAAAATCAGGACTAGATCAAGAGTTAGGATTAACGCTAGTGCTGTAGAGAACTAATCAACTACTCGACTCGGCGTATAGGCCTATACAGCTTGACGTCACTGAACTAAATTCACATCTCATGATAAGAGAAATTAGAAAACAAACACCTGGTCTAGACTAAAAGCCGAACATACTTACGTAGCAAATGCTATATACAATTTTACATTTATAAATTCTAACACTTGCAAAAATTGCAACTATGATCTGTTGTCTTAATCCAGGTTTAATCCAAGGCTCACACCAGGCTCCGGCTTTAAACAAAAAGCTTGTGATCTGCTACAATCCAGAGCCAGCCAATCAAATCACTGTAAATCATCGTCTGCTTGTCCTGTCGCGATACTCGGCGAATATCGACCCCGCAAATATTGGTGAAAGGCGTTGCCATGGTGACGCGGATACACAACCCGGCATCATCCATCAGTGTGTTTACAGTGGCGATTGAGGGTAAACTTAGTACACGCAATCCGTTTTCGTCTCCATGTTCGGTTTTCTTCCTTTCTGTTTCTTTCCTTTCTGTTTCCTTCCTTTCTGTTTTCTTCATATTTGTTTCATTTCTTTCAGTTTCCTTCCTTTCTGTTTTTTACTTTCTATTTTCTTCCTTTCTGTTTTTTTTTCTTTCTGTTGCTTCCTTTCTTTTTTTCTTAATGTTTTTCCTTAGTGTCTTTCCTTTCTGTACCCTTCATCTCTGTTTCAGTCCTTTCTGTTTCCTTCCTTTCTTTTTTGTAATCCTTGCTTCTCTGTGTTATTTTTTTATTAATTCTTTCCAATCTGTGTTTATTTTCCGACAATATTTTTTTATTTTTACGCTTTTACTTCTGTTAATAGTGTATTTGTGTTTTTCCACGCAATATTTTTTTTCCTAGTTTTTATTTTGATGCAAGTTACTGTTCTTGCAGTCAGTCTTGACTTCCGTTACCAACAGTGTTTCTTCCAGATTTTTTTTCTCCGGGGGGGGGGGGGGGGCACTTGAAATTTTCGGGGGGGGGGGTAGACTTTCTTCGCGGGCGGACACTGATAAAAGTATATATTTCCTATATAAATTATATATATTTAATTTCGTTCGGGGGGGGGGGGGGCGGTAAAAGGGGAAGAAGAGATGCTTGGAAGAAACTCTGGTTACCAATAATGGAGTTACGGGTAGTGACGGGTGGACTGGTCCGCCGGTTTACCTTGAAAACTACCGGTGGGCCGCTAAAAAAATGAAAATCTCGGCGGATCCCCTAGGAACGATGATGTAATAGTACTATTGGTGTTAAGATTTTAAAAGAAACAATTTGTTCGTGTTTCTCCATTTTTCCATTTCGATTCCTTCATACCAAGTCGTCAGATTCTGGGATAGATGGAGAAGAACGCACATTAAAATGTATTTGAATCTGGGGGTTGGTGTCGCTTTTGTGTAGCCTCAGGTTAATTTATGTGATCAAGCGCTCATGATTGCAAGTCACGTGTTCACGTGTTCCTACTTTATGCCCACATTTGGATTACAGACGACAAAAATCGATTGATTAACGCAACATCCCTGAATGTTCTGCTACTGCCAATGACGACACGGGCAGATGTATTGACACAAAAGACATTGGCTTAGTTTCTGTTTGTATGGTCGCAATTCCGGTTATGTATTCTTTTTCTTCGCTCTCAATTGTAATGTCGAAAGGGATTCCCTCCAACACTATGAAGAATTACGTGTCAACTGGTTATGAGCTATACAAGTGGTTGACTCCGACTTCAGTCTGCTTTTCTTTTTGGTTTTGTTTCCAAGTCAATATAACAGATGAAGTAGAGTTCATCTGTTTTCTGTGCTCTCGCTATGGTTAGTGGAAATACAATATAAAATCCGTTCACGATGAATATGTGATCATTGTGCTATTTTTTATCCTTGTGATCCTTGTGATCCTTGCGATCATTGTTCTATTGAACCTACCCTGGGTTTAACCCGGATGTAAAGAATGAATCCTGTTTGTGACGTCAAAAACCCCACTACTCCACCCTTCACTACGCTTAAAACAGTGAAGCTTTAATAACGCATTCACTTTCGTTGACTAGTCGTACTTAAACGTAGCTCCCTCTAGTTAGTAAACTGACCGAAATTGTCTTAGGTCTAATATATATATATATATATATATATATATATATATATATATATATATATATATATATATATATATATATATATATATATATATATATATATATATATATATATATATATATTATAGAGAGAGAGAGAGAGAGAGAGAGAGAGAGAGTATATATATATATATATATATATATATATATATAGAGAGAGAGAGAGAGAGAGGGAGAAAGAGAGAGAGATAAGAGAAAGAAATGTTTTATAATTAGCTAATATCTCATCCCTTATTGATCCCCACCGCTATACACAGACATTTACCCACTCATCATTACGATACAATATGTCTTATTTTTTTCTCGTTACACCCACAATGCAAATAACCAGAATAAAAAAACACAAGTAAAAAAAATTTGATTATACGGAACAATCCGCAAAGCTTGATTTACATCGGTGGAAAAACGACACAAAACCAATATGAGAAGCAAAAACTTACTTCTAAAGAGGACAACTAACCCTGACAAAAATACAAGTAATCTGACAAAAACACAACACATTTGATTAAAACACCCAATAAATTTGACAAAAAGATAACACTGACAAAAACATAACAAATTTGACAAAAATAATAACACTGACAAAAATACCACACATTTGACAAAAAGACGACTAATTCTGACCAAAAACACAACATGTAAACAAACACGACGCACTCTGACGAACACACAACAAAACTTTTAAAACAACACACAACACAACAAACCTGATAAATACACAAAAAATAATTTAAAAGTTTGTAAATAAGTCAGTAAACATGACTTGTGATCAAACAGAACTCACGTTAGACGCAGGAGATTATTGCCATTTTCTGTCAGGTATTTAAAAATCCCAGAGCACTAATCCCAGATTGGCCAGTTCACACCCGAACTTTAATATCCCCACTGAACCCGGCAAACAGCGGGACAGCGCCAAATCCAACAACAAAATGGGGCATACGCTGCTCCGATCAGCGGGGTTACACCAGCCCCGAGAAAATCGATCGATAACACATATCTATACGGCGTCGTAAAGAAAATAAAAGTCGACATAAAAACTCGACCTTAGAGATCCGGTAGTAAAGTACACAAACAGTTGGGAAGGCCTTGTAGAGACTTCAAACATGTTAGACTCGAGAGTATTGTTGTAGTGCTTTAGGTATTTGTTTAGAGAGTCACAACACAAGACCGCCATAGCAGTGTTATAGATATTTGCTTAGATAGTCTCTAACCAGGTGCTATAGATATTAGTTCATACAAGTTCTTTCTGGGAATGGTCAAACACTATATAGAGCTACAACATTCATATATTCACTAGATCGTATGTTATACAAACACATATACATAACATTCTTATAAACATAAACACAGCACACAATTATACAATCCAATACACATACATCATAAGCATAGCCACGCACGTATTTTACAAATAAACATATACTTACATATATATTTTCAAAATAAACATAAGTATACATACTCATTACTTAACTTCCTATTTTTTTTCTAGAAAAGTTCAATCACAACTACCACCTATCTTTCTTTTACTTTCCCCATTTCCCTTTACGTAGTGTTATACTCGTGACTTGATCCCCCTACCCCCTCTACCCCTCCCCCTTGACAAGTGACGTTCACCACCCATTTGTTTTGAAATCACTTGAACGGTACCGCCCACCTGTCAACACCTATCCGGCTACCTGATGTATTCACCTGTGTGTTATTTGATTGTAGGGAGGACCCAGTCACATTCATTACTCGGTCATGGTGAGGTTTTCAGTCGCTTTTGTTGAGCAGATGAAGTAGAGTTCACCTGTATGTTCTGCTACTTTCAAAGGTAACTCCAGGCACCCACTGAGTCTAATGGAGGGGGAGGGTGATGGTGCCAGAATTAGGCTCGGTCACACAAATCTAGATAAGAATCACATGTCATTTTTTTGTGATTGTTTAAAATGAGACACCGTGCTGGTTTTCAAGTAGTAATTCATGTTCAACTGTAAGCCACCATGCTGATATCTCAAGTAGTTTCATGTTCAGCTTTAGATGTAACTAAAGTTAACATGAATATGAGCCTAGAAAAAGATTGTGAGTCACCTTACCTTTAATGCCAGATTTTGTTTCACCGTCTAAAACAGTGGCATCAGGAATAGATTTTAAAGTTACCCTACATGCCAACAAAATTTCATCTAAGATCCCTTATAAATTAACCATATCGTTTAATACGAACCATAATTAATCCGATTCGTGTGTTTGAAAGCTGCTCTAAAGGTATCCTCATTAGAGTCGACATTTACCATATCCACAGGGAGAGGGGAAGAGAAACACGATAAAAATCGCCTTTCATTAATGAACCACCCTACCTATAAATACCACCAATAAAAGACATACCCCATGAATGGATTGTAATCTGTAAAAACCATTTTATTTCTGTCATGTAAACTTTATGGACACACATAAAAACTTTACCAAAGGGCCGTCACCATTATTCATTGTAACTACTGTTATCTCCCCTAGTTCGTCCCTCGCTACACGATATTGTCGTCGATATTGCGGAATTAATACGGTGTTTCTATTTTTAGACACATTCTAAAGCAAGATTTATTTTTGTAGTTTTAGAACTACATGCATTATCTTTCTCAACGGCAGAAAGTTTAAGTACGACATTGTTAACATTAACTTCTGTACTGGTACTATGAAACAGCTCAGATATATGTATGCTGTATAATGTATGGCAGTCGTCGTGTTGTGTATGTAGAGCGAGAAGTGTTTGGGAGAGTAGCGTAGCCAGGATCGTCTCATGGGGGGGAGTTAAAATTTTACCCCGCGGGGACAAACTTTCGATTTGCACACCCCCCCGCCCCCTCAAACTTTTGATTTACACCCCCCCCCCCCCCGCTCAAACTTTTGATTTGCACCCCCACCCTCAAACTTTTGATTTACACCCCCCCCCCTCAAACTTTCGATTTGCACCCCCCTCATACTTTATATATATATCGAGGGGTCTATGGGGGGTTATGACCCCCCCTAACCCCCCCCCCCCCTCCCCCGCCTACGCCACTGGTTTGGGAATAGGCACACAATACCAGACTGGGTAGATACTGAATTATACAGTCAACACGATAAGCAAGTCAGCGTAAATTTAGCTACGCACTACTAAAAAATACCAAAGAAAGAACTTCTACACCACCTACAGTACTGCAAAGAACATCTACAAAACAGTTAAGAAAAAATTGGTCTTGAAGTTAGTTTTTCAACATAGATAACACTTTGACATCAAAGGCAAGTTGGGAACAATAGGACAAAACTTTTAAAAAGTTTAGTAAAAAATTATAGGGAGGTATAAAAGGTAAGTATAAAAAGTATAAAAGGAAGGTGTGTAAAATAGGGTACAAATAAAGAAAGTGTAAAACAGATCGCTTAGTAATAAATCGATATCGATTTTTCAAAGTTAAGTACACGTAATGATAGTGCAAAGTTTACTTATGACAGCTTTCTGTTTTTTGTAGCCTGTGTTTATTATCTACCGAGACGAAACTTTCGAAAGTCTTTACCGTCTTATTCGATGCTTTCATGAAAATTTTATTGTTTTAATCAAAGGCGGATCACTACAAGGGTATTAACTTGCCGAATAACCGCTTCTTACTACTGTAAGTTGAGTCGATTTCTAACATAAACTAGTACCCCCCCCCCCCTTTCCTCTCATTTAGTATAGTTCAAATAATTACACATTTAATTTAGTTGTGATTCAAAGCTGTATTTATGATTAATACAGTTAGACTTAGTTGAAAGGATAGCGAGGTCTTGAAACGAACGTCTCTGGCCATTTAACAAATGTGTATCCATCTCACTTTACACGGTTCCATGTCAAAGATCTAAGGACAAAGTATCTCACGAGCAAATTATCTCAGACAAAATATCTCACGGGCAAATGATCTCAGACAAAATATGTCACAGCAAAATATTCATAGTATTAAGGAGTTAAGTTTATATTAACATTTTATTTGCTTTTTTTTTTTTACACATAATTATTGCCAGACAATTGAGAGATTTACTAAAGTAATGAGCTAAACTTAATTATTTTTTTTAAATACTTTAATGTGAAAAAGAAATATAGGTTCAGTTATTGTCAACGTTACTTTTTAACAAATTAAATGTATGTTAAATCCACGCTTGATAATTTCTAATAAGGTTTTAATGAAGCTAATGCTTGCCTGTTTATGCTAGAACGTATTTATAATAAACATTCTAAAATATATAATCAATAAATAACAATTTTATAAATTATTTAATAATTTATGTGAGAATGCAGCAAAGAATTATCTTTTATAATTATTTTACAGAAAAAAGTATAATTTTTATTATTTTATGAACGTTTTTACAGGTTAGTTCCCTTTAACTTAAAAAACTTAAACGTCAAAATCACAACATAGAACTAAGACTTAAGAAAACAAACTAAAACAAAAAAAAAGTGAAATTTAAATCCTCCATTAGCACAGGCCTTTGCTACCTCTAGAACGAATTCACAACTGCCAGTTTTTAAAATGCCGGCTTAACACGCAACAACATTAAATCACAAAGTATCGTGAAACAAAATACAGACAACTCACGACGCCCTATTTTTTAAAGTTTATTTTGGTTACCTCCCTTACCACGTTTTTTTTCCATTTCAACTGAACTTGACCAATGTCTCACTAAAGTCGTATAACTGCGTCCAGCTTGATTAATCAGGGCGATATTATTTTATTAAGTTAATCAAGCAATATCTTCATTAGCCGTGCCCAAGTGCTTCTCTAAATAGTTCAATATTGAGTTTCTAGATACGCTATTATACCGGCTACCACGATAGCTGTGTTTTGATATACGCTAATTTACCGGCTACACTGAACTAATTGGTTCAAGAAAATGGAAGATATTTCCTTTTTATTGCTTTGGGTTTAGCATTTCGTCTTGGATTTTCTATTATTAGTGTTAAGTTGTGGTGTTTTAACTTGTGGGTTCTGGGATGAGGAGGGAGGGGTGAGGGTTGAGGGGTTAGGGGGGAGTAGTTAGGCTGATCCCATTGCTGTGAACACCAGTGTTTCTTCAAGACTTTTTTCTCCTGGGGGGGGGGGGGGGGGAGGGCACTTGAAATATTAATTATTTTTTTTTGGGGGGGGGGGGCGGACAATTTTCTACATAAATTCCATTTCGTTCGGGAGGGGGGGGGTCGTAGGTTCTCTTCGGGGGGTGGGGGGAGGGGGGGGGGTCGTAGGCTCTCTTCGGGGGGGGGGGGGGGTAGGGGGTGGAGAAACACTGATGTCCACCACAGGAAAGTTCTAACAAAATCTCCTACCACAGTTCATGTTAAGTTTTGCTTACTCTCAATCTAAGTGAATCACTAATAACCCAATCCCTAAGTAAATCACTAAGTAAATCACTAATTACCCAATTACTAATTACCCAATCACTAAGTACCCAATCACTAAGTACCCAATCACTAAGTACCCAATCACCAAGTAAATCACTAAGTAAATCACTAATTACCCAATCACTAAGTACCCAATCACTAAGTACCACTCACTTAGTACCCAATCACTAAGTACCCAATCACTAATTACCCAATCACTAAGTACCCAATCACTAAGTACCCAATCACTAAGTACCCAATCACTAATTACCCAATCACTAATTACCCAATCACTAATTACCCAATCACTAATTACCCAATCACTAATTACCCAATCACTAATTACCCAATCACTAATTACCCAATCACTAATTACCCAATCACTAATTACCCAATCACTAAGTACCCAATCACTAAGTACCCAATCACTAAGTACCCAATCACTAAGTACCCAATCACTAAGAACCCAATCCCTAAGTACTCAATCACTAAGTAAATCACTAAGTAAATCACTAATTACCCAATCACTAATTACCCAATCAC